ATGTTGAGTATATCACAAACATTAACTGTTACGAGAGAAACAGCTAAATATTACCTCGGTATATTCCGTTCCACAAAAATTTTTTCCATTACCTCATAAGATCGCTTTCTGTTCGCAAATAAATTGTAAAATTTACGCTAAATGTACATTTTATGTAAAATACATTTATTTGCATTATGAGGCCTGATAACCGAAAAGTGCCAACGAAACCTACCTTACGCCACACCGTCATGTCTTTTTTGCTTACAGATTGTTTAGTTCGAACTATATTTATGTCGATGTACACCGGTCGAGAATATCAGATGAACTACTGTTGACCGATTTTCCTTTAGGAGGCGTATCCTGATCAGTGCCTTTTCTCGTTTTTCCTTAAATCGCTAGAGTTTTATACTTAGGTCTGTTTTTTACTTGATTCGCAAGTGCTTATTCATGCAGGCGACGGCATGAAGGCACAAGGTGTACGCATGAGTGCGACTCGCTTCATCGATACCATGGAAATTTTCAAAGCAAGGCTGGCTTCAGGAGCGTTTCAGCTTCCGGCGCTTTGTTGTAAACACGTATCCTTTGCTGTAAACACGCTCTGTCGGTCTTTACTACGTGTTTTTCTATATTGTGCCACACCTCTCTATTTATAAGTTATTTTCGGAATTGTGCATCATTTTCCATTGGTCTTCAATTCTTGTGGCTTTATAATGTGCCCCTTCCATTTTTTGATTCTTCATTCGCTAGCAGCATCTGGTCTTTTCTTTATGACCCTCTTCAAACAAAGTAGAGGTAGATCTGCTTTTGAAGAGGAATATTTTCTTGTACCATGCAATTAGTGCTTTATTGCGAAAATATTGTAACACAACGGATTAGCATACCACGTTGTTTCGCTGCAGCGAGGAACCAACCTATGTAAGTAACGAACGCTATATGGCTTTCGAAAGTTTTACATAGTAAATATATTTTTATACACTTCTAACCATCTTTTTATCCATTAACATTAAGGATCTGCTTGTTTGCATACACAGTTATTTATTTTTTGTTAACCTAATTGGGGTGTTTATGCTGTACCTACATTCTCCCCTGTAAAAGTTTCGTGCGATGCTTTTGTGCTGGTTTACGTGATGAAATCGGTGATTACCTAAAAATGGTTGTGATTTAATATTTTGATTTATTGTTTGGCATTCTTGCTGAATGTTTTTTTCTTCAGTAGTAAACGAAAGAGAATTTTTACCCTACGAACAGTTTTTCTGGAACAGATGACATTCCTATTTCGAGAAATACATTATTTAAGTAACTCTTGCGCACCGCTCCCCTCCAACTGAACGAAGCGGGGATTTTGTGCGACTCCTTGTTTCTAGAGACTGGGTGACACTTAAACAGGCTTAGTCTTCATGATAGCAGTTGCAGTGAGTGACTGAGACGGTCTCTTGGCTAAGACCATTGTGCAGACTGTCAGTGATGGCGTTGTCTCCGTCGCTGAAAGAATACTGCAAGATACGACCCGCTCCCGCTTCATATAACCTGCTACTCCTGAATTACGCTACACAAGGAAACGTCATCGTCTCGGAAACAAGAACTGAGCTGTACAGAAAATCAGTAGTGCATTCTCTTAAATCCTCTTGCTACTGTATGATGTATATATGCTGGTGCTGAAGCAGAAAGAAGGATCCTTCTACATAGCGTTAATATAATACTGAAATACTGAATGAATGCGTAACAAAATTGCGGCGTTAGCTGAAGTAACATGCTGTTAGTGGCCCGCTGGGGCAGTTTATGGATCGAGCAGTGTGTAAGGACGTGGCACCAGCGGAATTTGCTTTTTGACCCGAGGAAGATGACAATATGACCGGAGTTGGTTAATACTAATAATGTCATACAAACTGACTCAGCTAGTCATTTCACTGTGTTATTAGGCAAAATCACATCATCCCCTTTCTTTAGGGGTTGTGCTTTGCGGGGACGGTGGGGGGTTAACAGCCGCGTCAGTTCTACATGGTGTTTGCGCATCTGATTTACCCGCAGTGTACAACATACATTTTCGTGTCACCAGCTGGGTTTGTGCTTCGGGCACTGTACACGTTCATGGTACCATCCAAACCATAAGAATCGTAATGATCCGCACTAATTCTGAAACCTCAAAACATTATACCAACGCTCTGAGTAGATTTACACCAGTACTGACGCTGAATATGACTCCTGCAAGCAAATACCTAGGTTATTTAGCAAAGTCACACCGTCATTTTGCCTCGGTGCCTGCGGGCTATTTAAGTAAGCTACAGCTCCATGATATTTCAGCAGCTACTGTAATGCAATACATTTTTCCCAATAATATTTCAAAATCCGGTACCGTTTGCTTTCCTGAAACAATTTAAAATAAATTCCGTCTTGCTGAAGCTTAGTTTCTATCTGGAAACTAAATTTTGATTTTTCACCAGCCTCTGGCTTCAGACTCTAATCGTATGATCAAATGAGGTTTTTAAACTTTTTCACATTCAACTCAGCTAGTTACTTTGGACGGAAGGTTCAGTAATTTCAGAAACTGAACAACAGTTCTTGATGATCGCGGTTGACCTATATTTTTGATACAGATAACAGTTTTCAGTAGCGCGAAAGTGAATTTCCATTAAAATTTTGTTGCTAAATTTCAATTATTTATTACTACCATATTTGCTAGTTACCATCCAATCTTGGAGAAATACCATAGTTGACGAGATTTTGGATCTTCTGTGTCACCCGTCCTTGTCTTCGAAACAACAATTTCAGTAAAATAGTGACTTCAGAAAAATGAAGTCGCCTGAGGCTTTCATTCAACTCCAGTGATAAACCTTGAAGCAGTTCAGTGATTAGGTGCTAACGGTTCTTTTGTAATACAGTAACCTGTGTATTAAAGTAATAATTAAAATTGAAAAACTGAGAGTACAGCTGCTATCGCAAACCATGGTAGTTCTACTTATGCAAGCAACTCACTCGATTGATCTCAAAGAACACACACAAAGGAAACTGTTTGAATGTTTAATAGCTCGTATTGGAATTTAATGAGCTCACATTTGTATGAATAGGATGCTGCCGTTATGTTGTTGCTCGACGGTCCGTGATGTTCTTCGTTGCCAGTTGTCTGAACGGTAGATTAGCTGGTGTCCTTAACTACTTAACGAATTACGTAAGGCTTGGTAGACTTTTAGGAGATATGGCTCATTTAAATGGTTTCTCTGCCAGACTGACTTCTTTGTACGCATGTTTCCTCGTTATAATTTGGCGACATTATGAAATAATCGAGGAGCACTTTGCTGCTGTTTTTCCGACAGTTATGACATTAAGTATTAAAAGGATAAAAAGGCAACTCGACTTCATAGCCTTATGTCTTGGTTAACCTTGGCTTAATGGCGGCATGTTCTGCAACTGTATTCATCAGACTCCGATTACTGCCTATCTTTATTTGATCATGCGTTTTTGTATTCTTTATTTTCAATAATCACTTATAAAATTTTTGTTTAATGCTTCATTTTATTCTCCTGCATTTTTTTTTTGTTTTTGACCATTCTGTTTTATTCTTTTCGACGTTCCTTATGTCCTTCTTCCTTATTCTTATCTTTTACTTCTTTAGTTTCTTTTTTCTTATGGTTTTATTTCGACCCTTTCTCATCTTCATTTGATTTTCTTTATCTTGATCTGTTCGTTCTGTTGTCCCATTATTTCTCATTTTTTGTGCACTCATTCTTTAGCCTTACCGTTTTGTTATTATTATTATTCTTAGCACTGTATTTTGTTTCCTCTTCAGTTTTTGATTTTTTTCTTTGCCTTTCCCCTTTCCACTTTGCCTGTTTCTGCTTATGGTTCTTTACCTTTCTTGCTTACGTGCTCTTTTCGTTTAGTTATGTATCATATCGATTTAGTTCCATTTCTCTCATGCTCCCAAAGAACCTGATGGTTGCAGAGGAGTATACCAGAACTGTAATACGTAATAATCTTTTCTCCTACATTTTGTGCAGTATTGTATTCTTTTTTTCTTGATCCGTTTCATTTACGAGTTATTCGTTTTATGTTAACTTCGAATATATATAGCACGGATAACCACCATCTGACCTATTCTTGCACATTGTACCGTCTTGAATGTGATAACTCATCTACCGTATTAAGTTTTACATGTAATTTTCTACATTTCATTTAATTTCATTGTCATTTTACACTTCATTTTATACATTTATTATATGCACTTTTTCCTAGCTGCTTTATTCCTTTAAGTATTTACGGTACTTTTTAAAGATGATAGTTCTTATGTTACTCTGTTGTTTCTTGAGAACATGGAAGCAGTAACCGCCGACGAGCTAACCCTCAACGACTATATTCAATTCCAAGTTCTTTTCAATGTAGTAGATACTGATCTTCTACCTAAATACAGTCTCGTCTTTTCCTGGCAGCGTAGCAACCATTTAGCAGTTGCTACATGACATGTCAGTGAGTTAGTTAGAAATTGTGAACTACACAAATCAGTTCCGTTGATCAACGACAGCTTCTGCTTTTTTAAGGCTTCTTTCGACACATTATACTCCCTTCTTAGTACTGCTACACCCAACATCGCGCATTTATTGTCGTGTCCTTTCTAGAGGGCAGTACTTAAATAAAGTTTAAGGAATAAAGCGGATTAATATGCTACATGTTTGAAATAAAGTATCACGTATATTTTAATAGCTTTTGAAATGCATTCATGAGAAATGCAACAACCTTGTGAATCGTTAACATCGGTTTTGTGAAAGAAATCGATACCGAGACCCTCTGCATCATCTCTGAAGTAAACATCGTGTGGAAACACGTTTCATGCAATTTTTGACGATTGTAGCTTTTATTAGATTTGCTATAAAACTGCAGTATAAAACAGTTATTCTGTACTTGTTTTTTATTTTGACGCTTTTGTTAATTGCTTGATGAAGCTAGGAAAAATAATGTGCCCTTTGGTTGCAGAGCAGCGTAAAGAGAAGGATACATTACCGGCCGAACAAGAACTGGCGACCAAGATGCTGCAAATACAATCGAAGCGTTTCTATTTGGACGTGAAGCAGAACCGCCGTGGGCGCTTTATCAAAATTGCAGAGGTATCTTGTCTTTCACAATTGGTTTATCGTGCAAATTAGTCATCACGATCGGTTTTACTACTACTTATTTCACATTTTCAGGTTGCAGCAGGCGGCCGAAAGAGTCGATTGCTGATGTCGATGGCCACGGCGACGAAGTTTCGCAACATAATCTCTGACTTTGGAGAGTACTACGCTACTCTCGGCACAGGTACTCTACTTACTTACATTCATAAAACTGATAGTAGGTAGTGATTTTATTTTTCAGGTCCTGCAAATGCAGATATGCAGGAAGACGGTGTTTTAAAATCTGAGATCATGGTGCAAGAAAACAGGCGCTACTATTTAGACCTTAAAGAGAACAATAGGGGAAAATTCTTACGGGTGAGCGCTTTCATTTCTTATGTCTTCGAGTGATATAATAAGTGTCTTATTTTATGATGAATTTGATTGCATTCATGGTACTCTTTTAAAGCTTTTCTTCCAGTTTCCAAAGTTTGCTGTAGTTAAGTATATAAATATTTTGTTTACGCATTTAGCTGAGTTTTAACTTAGCTATCATTGGCATCCTTTCCATTTGTAAGCGTAAAGCCAGTACGACAGAGATCATGACTGTATTTGTTGTACCCTTTGGCATGACTGCACCAAAGCACTATACTCTTTCTAATATAAAAGTTTAGCTATATAATTCATTTACCTCTTGCCGATTATCTGAAATATTTCTGAAAC